CCGCCGCCGCCGCCTCGGACGCCGCCGTCAGCGCCGCCGGCCCCGCCTGCGCCTGTCGCGGTGCCGCCGCCGCCCGCTCCCCCGCGGGCTGTGAGACCGGCGCCGGGAACCCCGCGCACCGGGCGGAACCCAAAACGGACAGGACCCACAGCCATCAGCGGCCTCCTCAAGATCCTGCAGTTCAACTGCAACAGTCTGAAGGCCAGGAAAACCGAACTGGACAAGAGAATTGAAGACGAGAAACCCGACGTCATCCTACTCCAAGAAACCAGACTCCTGGAAAGCGATGAAAACCCACGCTTCCCAGGCTACAACATAGCAGCGAGGCAAGACAGGCCATACCAGGCAAACCCGAGCCCGACAATCACCGGAGCAGCCCGCTCCGCCGACAGTGGGCAGGGAGCACCGCCTGGACCGAGCTGGACCTGCAAGCGCCGCGGCCCGTCGGACCGTAACTCCTGGTGCGCGGGCTGCAAGAGCCGTAAGAAGTGTACGGCACGCGCCCCACCAGCGAGCGGGACCGGGCAGGCGGCCACCCAGCCCCAGCCCCCGACCGGCAGCGACGGGACCCGCGGCGTGAAGGGTAAGGGAGGAGTCATGACCCTAGTGCGGGACCAACTACCGTACTCGCGGACCACGCCTCGGTATGCGCCAACTGAACCAGACGAAGAAACCTACATCACGGCCACAGAGCTCCACCCGCAGGGAACACCGTCTATAACCGTGTTCAACCTGTACTCACCTCCAGCAAGGTGGGTGGCAGGACAAGGCACCCAAGCCCAACCGTTCCAGCCTGCCCGCCTCTCCCTCCCTCCGAGATGCGTCATCGCAGGAGACCTCAACGCTCACGCCCACGTATGGGACCCACACCAACCAGAGGACGCGATGGGCCACGAAGTCGAGGACTGGTCGATCGACGCCTCACTGACCATCCTGAACGACGGCTCGGCCACGCGCATCAACCCAGCCACGGGCGGCCTGTCGACGCCGGATGTTACCCTGGCGACCGCTGCCGTGGCGAGAGGAACAACCTGGGAGATCGGCGAGACGATGGGATCGGACCACCTCCCGATCACGACGAGCATCCCTGTAGCTCCACCGAAGCCGCAGCGCCGAGGAAGAGGCCGCCTGTCCCTGAGGAAGGCAGACTGGCAGGAGTACCGCAGGACCTTCGACGGCATCATAGGCCGCTGGGACGACCACGGAGACCTGACGGCGAGCGAACTCGACAAACGACTCACCGCAGCCATCACCCGCGCCGCACGCCGCACCATCCCATACGGAAACGGCGGAAGGACCAGGGAGCCGTTCTGGAGCGAGGCGTGCGACGAAGCAATCGCGATCAGGAATGAAGCTCGCGCCAAGGTGGCCGCGCCAAACCATACCGCCGAAGACGTCCGGGACTACCAACAAGCAAGGAAGAACGCGGACACGGTCCTGCGCGAGGAAAAGACAAGCTTCCTGCGCAAGCGCATCGCGGAACTGGGGCCCAACACCGACCTCTGGAGCCTCATCCGCACCCTGGACGGACGCAAACCACCGGCGAAACCAGCAGAGCCCCTCAACCGCGCTGGCCCACCTGGCCGCCCAGCCCGACCAGCAGTAACAGATAGGGAGAAGGCCAACGCCCTATGCCAGGCATATGCGGCAGTATCCCGGATCCCACACAACAAACAAGAGGATCGCGACATCAAGCTGGAGGCGCGCGCTGCAGTGAGTGCCTGCGCATGCGACGCCCAACGCAGTGGACCGTGCGCGCCATTCTCACCCGCCGAACTCGACGCAGCCCTGGACAAGCTCCAGAACGGGAAGAGCCCGGGACCGGACGGCGTACCCAACGAGCTGCTGAAGCAGATAAGCCCAATAGGCAAGACTCTCCTCCTGGCTCTGATCAACAAGTCCTGGACAGCAGCGGACGTCCCGGCCAGTTGGAGAACAGCAGAAATCGTAGCCATCCCCAAGAAAGGCAAGCCGCCGTCAGAGCTGTCCAGTTATCGCCCGATCAGCCTGCTCTCCACCACAAGCAAGCTCGCAGAGCGGATGATCCAGGCCCGGCTGCAGCACTGGCTCGAGACGAGAGGGAAGCTCAACCCCAACCAAGCCGGTTTCCGCAGAGGTCGCTCCACCATGGACCAGCTCGGCCGAATATCCCAACAGATATTCGACGCGTTCGAGGAGAAGAAACCCCACCGGGCGGTCATGGTCCTGCTTGACTTCGCGAGAGCCTACGACCGAGTCTGGAGGGCCGCCCTGCTCTGCAAGATGGCCCGGCTGGGAGTCCCCGGCTGTTTCATCAAGTGGCTGAGGGCCTTCCTGTCGGACAGGCGCGCCCGCGTCCGCTGGGGCGCTGCCCGCTCAGACCTCAGGGTCTTCCAGGAGGGCCTCCCCCAGGGCAGCGTGCTGGCGCCGCTCCTATGGCTGATCTACGTTAATGACATCGACGCAGCAATGCCGGAGCACGTCTCGCGGTCTCTGTTCGCGGACGACGTGGCACTGCTGGCATGCGCCCCCACTGCCAGAGAGTGCGACGCCCTCCTCCAGCCCTGCCTGGACGCGGTGGACACGTGGCTGCGACGCTGGAAAGTCACGCCCAGCGTGACGAAGTGCACCGCCACCCTGTTCACTCTCGACCCAAGAGAGAGCGGAGGGAAGGTCAAGCCGTACCTGACGCTGCGCGGAGAGGAGCTGCCCTACTCCCGCAACCCGACCTTCCTGGGCATCAAGTATGACCCCCAACTCACCTTCGCGGACCACATCGACGACCTGAAAGCTAAGATGTCCCGACGGAGGCGATGCCTACAGGCACTGGCCGGAAAGACCTGGGGAAGTCACCGCCGAACCATCAGAGCGGCCTACATCGGCTATATCCGGGCCCTATTCGACTACGGCGCCGCCGTCTTCGGGACATACGCCGCCCCGTCGGTAAGAGGACGCCTCGAAGCCGAGCAAAACAAGTGCGCCCGCGTCATCACCGGCTGCCTACGTGCGACCCGGAAGGACGCCCTCCTGGCCGAGGCTGGCCTCCCGACACTCTCGCTTCGGGCCCTACAGCTGGCAGGCACGGAGTACCAGCGTGTAATCCGTCTGCCCCCGAACGACCCGGGCAGGTCCCTCTTCCGAAAGGAGGTACAGCCGCGCCTCCAACACCGAGCCTACAAGGCATGGCAAAGAACACGCAACGACGCCACTGCCGCGGGAAGACCGCCGCCCAAGCCACCAGACGAGACTGCAGCACTCCCTCACCGACCGTGCCTCAGGAGGGTCGGCAAGTGGCTCGCCGAGGAGGCAGGAATCGAGGAGCTCCCGGTGGAACCCATGGCGTTCTACAGCTGCGACCCGCCATGGCTGGGCCACCGCGGCGGCACCACCTTCAGGGTAGACCTGCCCGTGGCCACCCGCCGGTCGGACCCGCCTGCAGTCCGCAGAGAAGCTGCCCTGCGAGCCATTGCAGAGCTCCCACAACCGGATGTTACTATCTGGTCGGACGGCTCGGCTCGCGGCGGGATGGAACAGGGCGGCGCAGGCGCGCTGATCCAGTTTCATCACCTCAACAAAGAAGAAACCGTGCGCGCTCCTGCAGGGGCGGTCTGCTCCAGCTTGAGAGCAGAGCTGACCGCCATGCGCGAGGCGCTCGCGGCTGTGGCCGGCCTGGAGGACGGGGAGCTGGCATCGATCAAGTCGGTCCGCCTCCTCACCGACTCAAGGTCTGGGCTACAACTACTCGGCCGCGGCCCAGCTAGCCAGACCATGGCTCTGGCCGCCGAGGTCTGGAGGCTGCTGAACACCCTCGCCGAGAACGGCACCGAGACGGTGCTCCAGTAGGTGCCAGGCCATGCCGGGCTGGACGGCAACGAGACCGCCGACCGCCTGGCTGGCGAGGCCACGGCGGGCGACCAAGACAGCGCACCGATTGACCTGTCGAGTGCGCGGGCCGCCGTCACGCGCCATGTCCGGGAGCTGTCGCGACGGAGGACAACCGCTGCCCACCCGCACCCGGACCCCACGCCTGGCCACGACTCCCTGGCGCGCTGGGGGTCGGTGACGCTGTCCCAGCTGAGGACCGGCACATCACCACTGACCCGCGACACGCTATTCAAGATTGGCCTGGCAGCCAACGACGAATGCCCCGCGTGCGGGGAGCCCGACAGCGTGACGCACCTGCTGACCGATTGTCCGGCCTATGAGGCGGCCCGCCGCCGCCGCTGGGGTGTCGACCCTCGCCTGGTCGACGTCCTCGGCGGCCCGGCGGCGAGGGTCGTCGACTTCATCGAGGGTGTCGGGCGGACCGAGCCGCCGCTCGACCCGCCTGCGCCGCCGCCCCCCTGAGCGGGCTGGCGGCGGGATGCAGAAGAAGAAGAAGAAGCACGAGTCTGCTGCCGTACAAGGGTCGTTCAAAATGCTGATAGTCTCGCATGGTTTTGTCCTTCAAAAACTTTAGCCACCGTTTTTGTTAGATGATCATCATGTTGTACTCATCCTCGCCGACACTTTGCCATGTGTCATTTCCGACCTAACCATTCCCATTACTCCTGAAGCAGAGAGTTTCTCAGCCGACCCGATTTTGCGACCTCCATTTTCATGCCTGATCCATGGTTAAAGGTGAACCCTTTTTGTGAGCTCATGAAGGGTCGAATGCGCTTGAAAACAATGAAACTGCTTGAGGAAGGTTGTTACCAATGTTGTGAATGCCCATGCAAAATTTCAACTGTTAATTTCTTGTTGATTCAGAATTATTGACAAAAAAGCAAGGCTGGTACCTGTCAACGAACTTTTGAGACACCCTGTACACGGTCTAGCCAGGTCGCATAAAAAAAAAAATACACACACACAAATGATGGCCATAGCATGCAAGTCACTACATACAAACCAGGAGTCCAGAAGTGCTTAAAACTGGTTGATTGTGGCAGCAGCAGCGCGCGGAGCTGCCGCAGTGCTCTCTCTGTGAACTGAGGACGAGTCTGTGGGCGCCCGTCCCCCCCCCCCCCCCTGCAGTGCCTCACCTGTTGTGGGCGAGATTCCAGACGTTGATGACGCCGTCCTGGTCGGCGGAGACGAGTGTGCGCCCGTCGGCCGTCCAGAGCAGGCGGCTGACGGGCGCCAGGTGGCCGGAGTGCTCGCTCAGCATGGCGCCGCACGCCAGGTCGTACACCCGCACCTGCTGGTCCTCGCCTGGCGGTACGATACAGCTCAGTCGGCGCTGACACGGCACTCGGTGCACCGGAGCGGCAGTGAGCCGCGGCGGCCCGGGGACTCATACCGCCGCCCGGGACTGTGTCTGAATTCATATACAGCTATACATATCCAAATAAACATACAGTATACACAAGAATAAACATATTACATTCCAGTATTTATCCTTTCTTCTTTCACCGCCATATAACAATTTCTAAGCATGTAACGTATGAGACCGTGGGATGACGTGGCACGTACCGGCCGCGGCCAGCCGTTTTCCGTCCGGCGAGAAGTGCATGCTGTGGATGATGCCGCGGTGTCCGGAGAGCACGCGCACCTGGGCGGCGTCCGTCAGCGACCAGAGACGCACCGTGCCGTCCGCAGACGCCGAGCACACGTAGTTGCCGTTCGGGTGCATCGCCACGCACTGGCGGCGACGGCAGTCAGTCAGTGCGCGCCCAACGGCAAACTAATACGGCAACAGAGCACACGCACGTCCAACACCATGTTTACCGTCGTCAGTTAATTGTGAAAAGGGTTTAGCAGAACGCTTTAAACATAAAAATACACATCACTCCACTGAGACGGTTGAAAACTCGTCATACGTGTTACCAAACGCGGTCCTTTCGTCGAAGCTTTATTTTAGTTTGTACCGGGACACCAGCTTCTAGCCATTCTCTGGATTTCTTAAGTACGTTGGTGTTCAGCCTATAGACAAAAACTAATTGCCTTGCCTGAATAACGGAACATCCCAGTAGACCAGGTTAGAACCAGTAGAGCTGCGATATGCAAAACACTAGACAGAAGGAGCGATATGTCGATATGTCGACATTTGTCTATATCAGTAAAACTGATCTCATACAGTGGGAGTCAACTGTTCCATGACCTTCGTTCATCGCTGATATGGTGTAAACAGGTAAATTCGATATTTTCACACTGTGTCATAATATTACGCAATGCCATGATATACTGTCAAGAGTATGGGGGTGCAGTCCGAGGTACGTCCACGTCCCGGTCTGAGTTACGTCCACGTTCAGAGACTGACTTACGTCCACGTCCTGGAGGCGACTTACGTCCACGTCCTGCGAGTGTCCGGCGAAGATGCGCAGCTGGTGGGTGCGGTCGTAGCTCCAGAGGCGCGCCGTCCGGTCCATGGAGCCGGTGACAAAGTAGTGGCTGCAGGCGACCGAGGAGCGCGGCTGGCAGGCCACGCTCCACACCGGGTAACTGTGGCCCCTGCCGAGCCAACGGGACGAGTCAGCTGCGACCCCTGAACAACAGTGAGCTGTGACCCCTCCGGCAGAGCGGACGGGACATCAGTCAGCTGTAAGCCTGATCAGACACTGGGGCTGGGGCCCCTTCCGGAGCACGGAACAAGAGTCAGCCGTTCACCAACAACACGGTCAAATGAGGCCGAAAACTTACCCACACCGATACATACTTAATCCGTGTTCAGTGTGAGAGATCTATGTACAGTTTTCGGCAAAGTAAACACATTTATTCACTATTTGGGTGCACACTGCACACTAACATTATTTTTCTGATAATAATTGTTGAAATGACGTCGAATAACATAATTAAGCAAAAGCGCATACTTTCAAAGCTTACGAATACGATGCGTTTTAAATACATAATTATTTTACTGGGACATTATTTGTTTAACAGTTCTTGGACACCAATAATGTGTATATGTTGCAGGCACTTTAGAAAATCAGTCATTTTGTGGCTGTTTGAAAAATGACTGAACGCAACCAGGCTTTTTTCAAAATGGCTAGCCATTTTACAAAATGGCAAATGCCTGACCAGCATGGAACGTAGATCCCACTACAGATACTATGGCCAGGGGCGTCGTTTTGTATAGGCCTGGGAGTGCCCGAGCACTACCAATGTTCCGCTGAGCACTACCAATGTGTTGTTGAGCACTACCAACATTTTTCTTCACTTATTGAGAAAATTGCATTCAAACATGTCATACAAATAAAATGAATGAGGTTCTTATGTATAAAATCAACATGATAGCAAGTAACTTCAATGGTAAGTGGTAACTATTGATGAAAATCTATAGACTTACTCCACAAGTAGTGTTATCGGCGAGGATCTTTGTCGATAACCGGCACATGCTGCCGAGCTCGCGATTTTGCTCTTCACTAATTTTATTTGGTTTGTGGTGGATTAAATTTGTAGACCCTTAGAATGGATCGGTAAGGACTTAAGTTATTTATTTGGAAAATTGTATGCTACGTTTTGGTTAAGTTTATTTACGTTATTTGTCTCTGTAAAACGTGCTACGACGTCAAAACAAACACCTGTGACCGAAACGAACAACGAAAACGATACGAAGAAGCGATTTGAGACAAAGCGACCCGCGTCTGTATGATATTCTTGGTGAGTAGTTGTTTGCGTTATTTTATGTTGTTATTTCTGTTACATTAGGTGACCTGATGGCTTATGTGTATGTGTAAGCTTGTGTTTGCTCGAAATTGCGTCTGAATTTAAGTTTTATTTGTTTGTCGTCTTTTGTATTGTCATGATTTTGTTTGTCCGACAGAAACCGTTGAAATACATGTAGTACGTTCATCGCGTTAGTCAAGAGGACGTGGGGCCGCTACAGTTTCAAGAATATCTGTCCCCGACTGCAGCATATCAGGATAAATCCTCTCTACCGTCACGCGGCCGGTTTGGACAGACGTCTACCCACAGTAAGTGACGAGCTGCTGCAGCTGCAGTTCAAACTTCGACATTGTGACCTCAGAAAATCCGGACACATGAACTAAGATCGTCTGAGAGACTAGCAGTAAACGTGATTATGCCCGTGCTATGTTGTTACTTGTACTTGGATTAAGTGAGCAAAGCAAGACATCTATGTTCTAATGTTTTTCATCGCGAAACGTCTGTTTTGAGCTTATATATTCAGGTAAATTTAGCAGGTGAAGCTTGGTGCGTTCACCACGGAGCGACCCCACTCTGTCTCGTGTAACTGAACTGTGACTAAGCATCATGGACAATTTGAGAGTTTCGGAATTGCGTGAGCAGTTGCGTCAGAGAGGTTTGAGTCAAAGGGGTACCAAAAAGACGCTTCTGCACCGGTTACGGACAGCTATGGCCGAGGCAGACACCGACGACGATTCCACTAAGCCGAGATCGACAAATTCACTACAGTATTCCACGAACTCTATAAGAAAAGCGGACCGATCTACCGAATCTTTATCTAGCTCTGTTCACTCTGCGCAATCTGGCTCTTGCATATCGGAATCACTGTTTATCAAGCAAGCCAACGAGGCTGCGAAAAGAGCGGGTTTAGAAGCCAGAATGATGCTTCTTGCTGAGAAGCAGAGATTAACAGAGGAAACAAGGTTAGCTAGACAGCGGGAGCTCGAACTAGAATTACAACAAGAGAAACTCGACCTGCAGATGCAAATATTGGATTCTGCAGCGCGAGAGAAAGAATTTGAAAAATTCCAGGTTCACCTCGAAAATAGTACAGCTGTCAATCCATCAATTACTAAGCAGGAGGCGCAAAGGGAAATTCGTCCTACACTTTTCAGAGAGAATAAAGCTACGGCAGCTAGTATGAGTGAAGATTGTGTAGGTGTCGAGGGCATGGTCTCGAGGGGGCAGAACACTGATGTTGAGGGCAGGTATTGTCTGACTGCTACTAAAACTGAATCACCAGCACACAAGCAGACAAGTTTTTGCAGTGAAGCAACAGCCCAGGCATATGACCTAACCACTGTACCCCCTGACCTATTCACGCAAATGTTGGGATTAACTGAAAGAAGCACCATTCCGCGAGTGGAAATAGAAAAGTTTGATGGGGAAGTGGCATATTATCGATCTTTTATACGCGCTTTCGAGCACCTCATCTGCAATAAAGTTCAAAGCGATGACGAGAAACTATACTATTTGGAGCAATATACAACAGGCCAGCCTCGAGAGGTTGTTAGAGGCTGTCTCCATATGCCTGAAGACAAGGGATACAAAGAAGCCAGACGTTTGCTCGAGGCAAGATATGGAAATCAGTATAAAATTGCAGCACGATCAGTCGATAGAATCTTGAACTGGCCAGCAATCAAGGTGGACGAAATAGACGCCATGGATGACTTTTCTATCGCTCTTCGCACCTGCTACAATTCCATGGCGGGCATGGTTACAGAAACCTCGGAATTGGATCACCCTAAAACAATACGTAAAATTTTGGAAAAATTTCCGCCGACCATTCAGGACCGTTGGCGTCGGCTTGCTGAAGATGTTCGTGAACACAAGAACAGAATAGTCACCTTTAAAGATTTAGTAGATTTTGTGGAAAGAGAAGCCAGGATTGCGACAAACCCTTTGTTCGGTCGCCACCTGTTCCCCGCCACCAGAGGCAAGCCGGAAGGGCAAAGAAGTGGACCAGCGAACCGTTACAGCCTTGCTGCTCATATTGGTCCAGCTAACCACGGCGGTCAGCCAGTGCCTTGCCTGTGGTGTAAAGCGATGCATCCTCTCGATGAATGCGCCCATTTCGTCCAAAATCCAATGGAGGTGAAAAGGGAGTTTATCCGAAACAATTCGCTTTGCTTCGGATGCCTGGTCCAAGGTCACGTAGCAAAAAGCTGTACAAATCGTAGTGTATGTCGCGAATGTAAAGGGAAGCATGCTACCGCCTTACATTCGCCCCCAGGCGAGGTACAGAGCACACGAAGAACGACGACGTATGAAGCCATAAAAAACGCTAGAGTTGATATTAACAATGAGGCGTCTTTAGCATCGTGTGGAATGGCGATTGTACCGGTTAAAGTAAGGACCAGGACTGGACACTGTGTGGAAACTTATGCATTCCTAGACAATGGCAGCTCGGCTTCATTCTGTACTGAATCACTCTGCAAAAGACTACACGTTTCCGACACAAAGCCCATCACATTGAAGCTCACAACTGTTCATTCACATAAGAAAACATTGCTGAGCAAGAGGATCGACGGACTTATGTTAAGTGACCTGGATGAGAACGAGCATATTCCACTTCCGTCAATCTTCACCCTTAGTTACATACCTGTATCGGAGGACGATATTCCAACATATCATGACATCAGTAAGTTTCCGTACCTCAGTGATATTGATATGCCCCGCATCAATGCTGGAATAGAGTTAATGATTGGGAACAACGTCCCGCAGGCTATGGAACCGTGGGAGGTGCGTCATAGTCAAATGAACGGTCCTTACGCCATACGAACCAAGCTGGGGTGGGTCATCAACGGACCTGTCAGAGACCTCAGAGCGAACGTAATACACGCGAATGGAACACGCGCCGCGGCGTTCCATCACGGGCTCGATGAGACCTTACAAAATATGTATGAACAAGAATTTCCAGAGAAAAATTTTTCCGTCGCAAAGGGGATGTCACATGAAGATCGAAGATGGATGGCAATGGTTCAAGAAAGTTGTAGAGTGAGTGCTGATGGTCATTACGAGATAGCCTTGCCATTCTGCCAGGCGAATCCCGAGCTCCCAAATAATCTGGAGTTGGCAATAAGAAGACTTGAGGGACTCAAAAGGAAACTTATGAAAGATAACCGATTAAGAGAGCACTACACGGCGACTATGACAGATATGCTCTCCAAGGGTTACATAGAAAGGGCACCCGAGCTCGATTCAATGACTAAAGGTGGGAAGAAATGGTATCTCCCACACCATGGGGTGTATCATCCGCAAAAACCACATAAAGTTCGTATCGTTTTCGACGCGGCAGCTAGCTACAAAGGCACGTCCTTGAACGACGCATTGCTACAGGGACCCGACTTAACCAATTCCCTTATCGACGTACTATTACGGTTTCGATGGGCTCCTGTATGCTTTACGGCGGACATAGAAGCCATGTTCCATCAAGTACGAGTACCCGATCGCGACAGAGACTTTTTACGGTTTCTCTGGTGGACTGGTGGCGACTTGACTGATCAGCCAGCTGAATACAGATTTACTGTACATCCTTTCGGAGCCACATCATCACCGGCGTGCGCCAATTACGCCTTGCGAAGGGCCGCCACTGACCACGGATCACACTTCAGCGCAGATACTGTGGAGACCATTCTATACAACTTTTACGTTGACGACTGCCTTAAGTCGGTTGAAACAGGTGACGATGGAATCAGGATCGGTCAAGAGCTGATAGAATTATGCTCACGAGGAGGCTTCAACTTAACAAAGTTTGTCAGTAATTGCAGCGCGCTCTCTCCTCATTTGGACAATGACAAGAGCAATTGTTGCATTGAATTTGATCAGGAAAGGGGTCTTGCACGGAAGGCTCTTGGAGTAAAATGGTCTCTAGACACTGACAGTTTTAGTTTTTCGGCGGCCATAAAAGAAAGGCCCATGTCCAAACGCGGTATTCTCGCAATCGTAGGCTCAGTGTATGATCCGTTTGGTTTGATTTCCCCTTACGTTTTAATCGCAAGACATCTATTGCGAGACCTGTGCAGAATCAAAGTCGGCTGGGATGAATGCATTCCAAAGCCATATCAGAAGCAGTGGGAACAATGGCTAAACGATCTTCTGGTCTTGAACAACATTTCCGTTCCTAGGTGTCTGAGGCCACGGTCTTTCAGGAACGCATTTTGCCAGCTCCATCATTTTTCTGACGGTAGTGAACGCGCCTACGGAACTGTCTCTTATTTCAGAGTTGTCAACGAAGCAGGTGATATTCACTGTGGTTTTGTATTCGGGCGGTCACGATTGGCACCGTTGAAAGGGACGACTATCCCAAGGATAGAGCTAGCCGCAGCAACTTTGGCTGTGAAAGTGAACGCTATGATTCAAAGCGCGTTCCAAACCAAAATTGAGTCATGGTTTTGGACCGATAGTACCACAGTTTTGCGTTATATTCGAAACGAGAAGACACGTTTTCACACGTTTGTTGCAAACCGACTAGCAGTCATAAGGGAAGGCTCTTCGCCGAACCAGTGGAAGTATGTTCAAAGTTCCCTGAATCCTGCAGACATTGCTTCACGTGGAGCAAGTGGGAAAGACATCAGTAAGAACCAGGAGTGGTTCTCCGGCCCCGAATTTCTGTGGAAAGAAAGCCACGAATGGCCTTTGACGCCCAATAATTTGGGGGACATAACAGAAGACATTGAAGTGAAAAGAGAGCGCAAAAAGGAACAGCTTCCGAATACTGATCTGAGAGCGAACTGCACAAACGTCATTACCGTGCTGGACGTACATCCCGTAGAAACACTTCTTAGTTATTACAGCAGCAGATGGAAAGTGGTTAGAGCAATAGCTTGGCTATTGAGAGTTCGTCACAGACTATTATGTAAGGAAGCGCCTAGAGCTACGAGAAGAAATTTGAGCATCGAGGAGATGGAAGCTGGGGAGCGAGAGATAGTGATTCATGAACAAATGGCAAGCTATGCATCGGAAAGGAAACATTTGGCAGCTGGCAGACCTGTTCAACTATCTAGTTCCTTGCAGAAACTTAATCCAATATTACAAGATGGCTTCGTCGTGGTTGGTGGGCGACTCGAACGTGCCTTGCTACCAGAAACGGCGAAACATCCTATCATCCTCCCCGCAAGTTCTCGATATGCCACCATGGTCATTCAGGATGTACATGAGCAATTGGGGCATCAAGGACTGTCCCACGTTCTTACCACAGTGAGACAAAAGTTTTGGATTATACATGGAAATAAAGCTGTGAGAAAGGTTTTGAGTAACTGTCTTCACTGTCGAAGAAGATTTAGTCAGCCAGAGAATCAGAAAATGGCCGATTTGCCTATCGATAGGGTTCAGGCGTTGCAACCTCCATTTACAAGTACTGGTGTCGATTGTTTTGGACCATTCTTCGTCAAACGTGGAAGAGGACAAGAAAAAAGATATGGCATCATTTTTACTTGTTTAGCAATTCGCGCCGTCCATCTTGAGATGGCTGACAATCTCTCGACAGATTCATTTATTTGTGCCTTAAAAAGATTCATTTCCCGTAGAGGCAATGTGCAGGTGATTCGGTCCGACAACGGCACAAATTTTGTCGGAACAAATAACGAATTGAAAAGGGAATGGAGAAAACTGCACTCTTCAGACGCAATCTATAACACACTAGCAAAACGAGGAATCGAGTGGATTTTCAACACTCCAGGTGCCTCACATCACGGAGGGGTGTGGGAGAGAATGATAAGGTCCACGAGAAGAGTCCTCGAATCCTTGCTCTCATCGCAGTTGCTTACGGACGAGACGCTAAGAACTTTCTTATGCGAAGCGGAAAGTATTATCAACAGCCGTCCATTGACTCCTTTAACGATGGACCCCACGGATGCTGAACCGCTCACTCCCAACCATTTACTGTTGCTTGCACCAGGGGGAGATCTGCAAGCTGGAATTTGGCAAGAAACTGATAATATCAGCATAAGAAGATGGAAACAGGCCAGATATATGACAGAACTTTTCTGGAAGAGGTGGCGAACCGAATACCTGCCACTGTTGCAGAGCCGTCCGAGAGCATGGACTCGAAGTAGAGGGAATCTGAAAGAGGGAGACGTTGTACTCCTAGTTGACACAGCAGTACCAAGAGGGCAGTGGCCCATAGGAAGAGTGCAGACGGTAAAAACGAGTCTAGACGGTCTGGTAAGATCGGTTACGATTCTCTGTCGCGGGACACAGTTGACGAGACCTATCCAAAAGTTGGTGAAACTACTATCAGAAGACGAAACATCGTAGGACTGATCCGCAGACACATTGCCCATGATGTCTAGTTACATTGTCAGAAATTGTCAGATGCGGATTGACAATTTAGATATACGGTTGTACACATGGGCATGTTGTATCGCTGCGACGATACAAAGGGGAGGGTGTTATCGGCGAGGATCTTTGTCGATAACCGGCACATGCTGCCGAGCTCGCGATTTTGCTCTTCACTAATTTTATTTGGTTTGTGGTGGATTAAATTTGTAGACCCTTAGAATGGATCGGTAAGGACTTAAGTTATTTATTTGGAAAATTGTATGCTACGTAAATGCTTGGTTAAGTTTATTTACGTTATTTGTCTCTGTAAAACGTGCTACGACGTCAAAACAAACACCTGTGACCGAAACGAACAACGAAAACGATACGAAGAAGCGATTTGAGACAAAGCGACCCGCGTCTGTATGATATTCTTGGTGAGTAGTTGTTTGCGTTATTTTATGTTGTTATTTCTGTTACATTAGGTGACCTGATGGCTTATGTGTATGTGTAAGCTTGTGTTTGCTCGAAATTGCGTCTGAATTTAAGTTTTATTTGTTTGTCGTCTTTTGTATTGTCATGATTTTGTTTGTCCGACAGAAACCGTTGAAATACATGTAGTACGTTCATCGCGTTAGTCAAGAGGACGTGGGGCCGCTACAAGTAGATTGAATTTGAATTGGTTGACCAATTCAATCTTCTTGTAGCGTACCTAAGTCCATAAATTTCCATCAATACCTAGGTATCATTTTCACTTTCCTCATCATGTCATTACGTCAAGTAATTTCAAGTTATGTGGTACCTACCTACCTACCTACCTACCAAGTTTCACAATATTTGGACGTCTTCCTATACCCTAGGGTAAGGTGCCTAATTAGCGACCCTTTCCGATTTGCGACCTACCTCCCTACAGAAAAACTGGCAGGAGAAAACGGGGTAAAAACATCGTCAAAGGGTCAGCCATACTTTGGTTATCAAATTAAATTATTTTCCGGTCGTCGATGTTTCTGGTGGGACGTTTCAGGTGAGTTAAAATAAAAATGACGAGTTTCTTATCCAAAACGTGTGTGTTTGGGCCCTCTCAGATGAAAAGCGATGCACATTAGGATGATGCTCCTTTTTTATTCTGAATCGACATTCCTTTTTCAATTGATTGCCGTTTTCCCATAGTGAATCGCTCAACTGTGCACAGCATGGCGGCTAAAAATGAGTCGCAACTCATATTTCCTATTTGCGCCTGACATGGTCGCAAATAGCTCAAGAAGGGAAAGAAAGGGGAAAAGAGAGAAATGAAAATGAGGTGTTGCTGAAGCTTGCAGTGTGTGGCAGGGGATGCCAAATGTCATCACCGACTGCAGAGGTGCCGAATTCAGCACGGACCTCGAATATCATACGAGATAGCACGCAAAATTTGGGTTTCCGCCTTCTTTTCGCCTTCGGTGCATCACGTGATTAGTTTTTACTTACGTAAATGTGTTGGATAAACGTCCCTGTTCGAGTGATTGAGTGCTTTGCGTATAGGTTACCTTTTTGAGATTATATTTCATCTTTCCAGGCGTCGCATTTTTTGCCATTTTTAATATGGGGAAACCCATAGACTTATTAGCGACCCTCCCCGGTCGCTAATCGGGAAGAGTTCCCTATTAGCGTTTTTTGCAAATTGCAATGGGTTGCCAAAATGCTCACTACAAATAAGTTAGTGAATATTGGGGCAGAAAATGACTATATTTTAATAGTAAAATGAACGATCTCTCCGAAAATCAAGCCAGTAATACAGTGGCACCCACAGAGCGTGAGCAATGGCGGTTCAAATTAAGGGGGTCGCTAATTAGGCACCTTACCCTATAGGTACAGGTCACCGCTGAAGTAATGTAGGGTATCCGTAGTGGTTAGAGTTTGCATCTGTATCTTGGGAACCATTTGTCAGATTATCATGAAACTTGGAATGTAGCCTACATGTGCCATCATCATTGCAGCTGTAAGGTCGTATTATGTCACCTACCTTTAGATCACTCCGTATTTAAAAATCGTCGGTCAGAGCCATCTGTTGGTGAGATTGGTAACTAAATTCCTGATTACGCCACTGATGCCCCAACCACGTGACTCAGCAGCAAACCAATCATCGTGTTCGGAGGCAGCATGAATGGCGCCAGATGCCCCTGCGTCGAGGCTGGCGCCTCTCGGTTGTGGCGTGAGTGACCGAGAGTCTGGTCGCGGAGCGAGGTCAGTGGGGTCAGCCTCGCCAACCGCCTCCGGGCTAGCGGAGCGCTGGGCAGCGCGGGTCTGTTAGGTTGGCATACCCTCTGTGGCACCGAGCGTGCCGATAGTTCTTTCTAGGAAAATGCGGAATGTGTTCGTGGCTGAACTAGTCACAATGCCGTTTACATGATCAGGGCAGGCTTGGGCTGCATAGTCACCGCAGCCAATGGACTTGTCTGTCCTTTCAAAAACCTGCAAAATGGTTCTGACGAGGTCACATTTCTAGCAACTCACTTGCCAGTGCAATGACGTCAAGTGAGTTATATGATGATAAAGTGAGTCGGCTACTTTTTGCGAATTAGAAAACATATTTCCATACACAAACATATAATCAGCTAATATCTTATGACCGAACAAGAGTCAACGAATGTCGATTGTATTCATAGTGCTCGTGAGGTCATAACCTCAAAAGATATACCATCTCGCCTGAGCCGGCCAGAACCAGTCTGTGGAAAACGGACAACCCCGGCGCGGACCGAACCCGCGATCCATAGCCTAACGCTTAACCGCTCCGCCACGACGTTTCTGGTGTCACGGCTCTCTGAACAGTAGCCGCGATGTGGTGAGTGATTAAAGCAGCATGGCATGACGCCTACCGCGCTCCGGGTCAGTCGGCTGGGCCTCGGGCGAGGCCAATCACGTGACCAGTCGGCGGTGAGGGACGGGACTCCGTCGTGTAAATAAAGGGGAGGGGTCGAGGAGGGACGGGGAGGTGGTCGCCGCCCTTTGAGATGACAATAAACGTTTGGTCAACGGAAGCCGTCCTACATGCAAAACAGTTGTTTTTTTTTTTTTTATCGCAAAGCGGAAAAATTCAAACTCATCGGCACATGGGTGGCGCAATTCACCCAGGCATTTCAATTATTTATCCCGATAGCTTCAGACCGTGTACGGAATGATCAGCAATTCAAATTGCAATCGCTAAAAAAATACAAGTGTGACTGCATTTATACATTGCGCCCTTCCATAAATATAAATTTAAAAAAGTATTGGCTCGCTTAATAGTCATATGCTTCAACGTTATTTCTTCTCTTCGTCTTTTTTATGAAAACGAGTGAACGTTGAAAGAAATGTTATGCTATTCATCCACTGACCATTTTATTTTAGAAACTTATTTGTATGTCGAATTTCTCCCCCACCCCATTAACTGGCAACGCCGTCCAGAAGGTCTCTTCCAAGTATAGGGTTATGGCGGTATCGTGCTTCGCTGTGATCTCTCATCTCACACGCAGCACGCACACTGAACTGACTGTGATTGGGGCTCACTGAGAAAAACCAATGAGCCAATGAGCGCACTGTTGCGTATCCGCGGGGGGCGGTGGACGGGGTCAAGGGTGATTGATACGAGCATGACCTCTGGCCGGCCTTCACCTGCCTCGACCCAGTTGTCGGGCGCCCGTGCCTTTGTCATACAGCATTTCTACTCATACAGCTAGCGTAGGATTTTGCTACAGCGTAAATCTTGTAATACAGGTCATGTCGATAAGGCCCTCAATGAACAAAAAAGTTCGGCGGACAACCGAAGCCAATGCACAAATATTTTACAGAATTAGACTATACAGGTGGTTAAAATTTAACGTATTCTGATCGGCTATTGTTATGCAAAACATCAATTCATTCAAATATTTAAATAAAATAAATGGTAAATCTGTTATTGTAGTAAGTTACAACTGCTCATTACGAACATCTTCTCTCAAATGCTGTTTTTTCTATCTTCAAAACTGTAGCCTTGATAGTTATTTCAGTAAAAGCTCCCACGTGAATCCGTGACACGCTGGCTGCTTCACAAAATGGCATCGGGCATCGCTCTCGCACGCCTCGGGTCAAAGCTCACTGTTGCCCTGAGGCTGGTGTCCCTGTCACCCTACCTCCACCCACCCCTCCCACTGCACCGGCCGGTAGCCCCGCGGTCAACCCCTCCCCACCTCAGACCCTCCCGCTTCTCGCCTGTCAGAGAGCAGCTCCTATCGGCCGATGCTGGTGTCCGGATCATCAATGGCAGGGTTACTCTCTACTGGAGGGTCCAGCAATGACTCCTTACTATTGCGTAGTACGCACGCGCGTAGGTTTACAACTCTGTGTTCAGTGGCGGTCACAGAAACATGACTCCGGGGTGCTCCAAGGGGCTCGATATTTCAGTTTTTCGATGATAACGAGCATGCTGTGGCAGGTAGAATGGTGACACATTAGAGAAAGTTGTCAATCTGAAATACGAAGCTGTGCGATCCTCGCTTTTGACGATATATCTTACCGTCAAGGAATGGCGCTATGTTTTGTTCGATCACAGTAGAACCCCACATTACTTTAGCGGTGACCTGTACGTGTTCAGCCTGTAGCTGATCGATTTGAAGCTCTGTGATAACGACAATGCTGAGTAACGACCAGGTTGAGTTGCAGACTCGGCTGTAGCATAAAGCATTGTTTAGTTAACGCTGTAAAAACTCCCAAGTACATCAACGCCGTTCATGTTCTGCCTGAAACTAGACCTAACAAAACCAGCCGGAGACCGGCCCTAGTCAATAGGCAGGCCCGGTTGATGTACAATTACATGTAAACGAATGAGTGTAGTCTTTGTTTTATTGTGCCATTACGGACGAAACTGCATTATGTATTTGGACATTAAAAACACGTTCGAATTTAATTATAATTTCCCACTCCTTCTCTCTCATCCTCACATTTTAACCCTCGCCGGCCGAGGGGGGGGGGGGGGCGGGTGCCGCCCCCCCCCATAGGGTTTTTTCGCGATAGCTCCGAACACGCTGGCGATAGAGAGCTGAAACTTGGCATACCTGACCTTTGATCCAAGCCGCATCTTTTGACACCAACCGCATTTTTGGGTCAGGTCAGGTCACTGACCTATGACGTCATAAGTGAACCTCTGCACGGTCTTCAGATGTCGCAACTTCGCAACGCCCTCACTGCCAGAGGAGATGTCACAGGGAAATGAAACTTGCAGGATCTAGTATCCATTATGAGTCTCACAACTTGTATATCTCGGATTTTTCCTAAAGGTCATATAAGGTCAGGTCATTTTCGTGACCTCACCATTATAAGTCAATGGGGAAAAATTCAAACTGCTATTCTGGCGCCGGGAACGATCTCCAACTATCTCAAGCACACAGAATCGTGATTTGATGCACTCCTTGCAAGGTTAGATGCGTCACTTTTGCAATGTTGACCTTGCGTGACGTCATTTATGACGTCATCAAGGTCATATTAGTTTTTCGTCAATAACTCTTGATCAAATTGAGCTAGCGAGTCGAGAAAGCCACCAATGGACTCAGGAAGACCTGCCGAATCGAATGATATGCGACATGACCTCTTTCGACCAAC